CCTTTTTACCTTCTTTACCAAATTTGGGTTGATTGATTATGTTGTGTCATTGCATTGAGGCAGTTTATTATTCATAGCACAACAGACAACATGAACATCAGAATACTTGCATGGGTTCCCCTGGCCCCGCATGCCTCAGGTGGTGCAGTGGGTGCAGATGTGTGGCACATACACATGGTACACACGTGGGGGAGTGCTATAGCTCAAGAACTTGCTGTTTCTTGCCAAGTCATAAGCAAGCCTTCCTTGGTCTAGGAAAGACATTCCCATCTCACAAAATTTCCAGCTGTATTATACAATTTTGAGCAAGGACCCAGGTGAAAAAGATGACCTTGGCATCTCAACAGATTCAGCTAGACACACTGAACACAAAAGGCCCAGGTAGAATGCCTCCCAACATTGATTATTATGTAATATTTATTTATATAATTACTTACTTTTTCACAGTCATTAATTTTTTTTGAAATAAATTTTATTGTGTATATACTTAAGGTATACAACCTGTAGATAGTAAAATGGTTACTATTATGAAGCAATTAACATGTCTATCACTCACATGGTTATACATTATAACATTTTTATGATTTTATGTTATCTGTTCATCATTGGCTTATTAAGACTTTAAAAAATTTTAGTGGTCACCTTTGCATTTATTATATATACCTATATATATCTACATATGTATAACATACAAATATTTTTTAGACAGATTCTTAATTAGTTGGTGAGGCTGGCCTCAAACTTGAGAGTCTCCTGCCTCAGCCTTGTAAGTCACTGAGATTGCAGGAGAATGCCACTGTACCCAGCTATAATATATATATCTTTAATCAGTTTATTTTCCAATAATATTATACTACTTCTTATGTAAGATAAGGGCTCTTCAATAGCATATTTCCAATTCTCAAACCTATCATGTTTATATTATTTTTGACATACATTTTACTTTTACAATATATATGCTATAAACCCACAATGCCTTGCTTTTTTAAAAAAAATTTTTCTTAGTTCTACATGGACACAATATTTTTATTTTGTTTACTGATTTTCATGTGGTGCTGAGGATCCAACCCAGTGCTCACATGTGTGAGGCAAACACTCTGCCACTGAGCCAGAACCCTAGTCCATGCCTTGTTACTCTTGCTTAAGACAAGCAATTATCTTTTAAGGTGATTAAAAATAAGAAAAATATCTCTTATATTTACCTTTATCTACTCATTTACAAGGACCTTCACTTCTTTATTTAGCAGGTTACTCTCTGATACTTTATTCCTTCTACAGAACTTCCTTTACCATTTCTTCCAATGCTAATTTGCTGGCAATTAATTTTCTGTTATTGTTTACCAGAAAAAGTGTATCTCCTTAAAATTTTTCTCTTGGCTATGAGCCAAAGCTCAGGAGTATGTGCCCTTTGTCTCTATAGTGGTCCCTGACTGTCTTGTTGGTATTTACTCTTTTTTGGATTCTTTGAGTAGAATTCTTAGCTCTGTGGTTTAATATCTTTCGTTATTTTTGGAAAATTCCTGGTTATTATATCTACATATATATTTTTTTCTCTGTCTCTTCTGGAATCAGAATTACTTACATTTTTGGGGGCTGGGGCTGTGGCTCAGTGGTAGAGCACTCACAAACTGAGTACAGTTGAGTATAGCATTGTTTATGCCTGGAAATTGTCCTGTCTCTTCTGTTGGGCCATTAGTGTGAGGAATTGAGTCAGTCTTGTGAGGAGTTGAATTAAGTTTGGGTTTTGTTGTTTCTCTCATTATTTCATTGTCTGCAATTCCCACGGGTTTTTTGCTTTCAAGTTAGCCGCAATGGGCTAACTGGGCATTTAGCAATTCAGTGAAAATGTTAGTGAACTCTTCTTACCCTCCTGCATAGAGACTTCAACTCCTGCTTTACAAGGATCCAGTGCCTATATCCCATCTCTTCTTGGAGGCTCCTGTTCCCGTTTTGAAATTCAGGTTAATAGTTCACTCTGCAACCTCAACTCTGATAGTTTTGACAGCAGTTATGATTTTGTAGATTACTCAACACTCCTTAACAATTGTTATTAGTGTGTTAACAATGCTCTTCCCAGCTTTCTGCATCCTGGATGGGAGCCAGAGAATCAAGCCATCTACTCTTCTGCTCTTTTCAACTCCTTTGGCCACCAGCTTCTGGCCTGCTGCCTGGGTCTTTCTCTTGAGAGACGCACTTCCAGCCTAGCAGCCTGAATTACTTTCAGCTTGGATGCCCCCTGCCTCTGACTATTCTTGTGGCAAACAACTGACAAAGAGAAGGAGCGGAGGTTCCTGATCTTTCATCATCTTGAGTTCAAAATAATCCATGGAGTCCTGTTCCCAGGGGGAACATGGGAAAGGTGACTTTGGGAGCTGAGCTCCATCTACTGTATTCCTGGCTTGATTCCATTCTTCTGTGCTAGAAAATGGACCACATATCTCTTCATCTATCCATTAATGAGAAATAGGAATCAAAGTTATTAAAATATTTCTTAGAAGATAAAAATTACAGCAGGGTAAAAATAAGAAATAGGTTAGGGGGGCTGGGGATGTGGCTCAAGTGGTAGTGCGCTCGCCTGGCATGCGTGTGGCCCGGGTTCAATCCTCAGCACCACATACAAACAAATATGTTGTGTCCGCCGAAAACTAAAAAATAAATATTAAAATTCTCTCTCTCTCTCCTCTCTTTAAAAAAAAAAAAAAAGAAAGAAAGAAATAGGCTAGGCTAGTGGTTACAAGCAGTCTCTGGGTTGAAATTCCAGCTCCATCCAGCTGTAGGACCCTGAACATGCTCCTTTACCTCCCTGTATCTCAGTTTCTGTACTGGTAAAGTAATGATAGCAATTATCTCATAGGAGTGTTAAGAGAGTTAATATACGTAAGCACTTATAATAGTAGTAACTGGCACATAATAAGCTCTGTAGCAGTGCTAGTTAGGACTCCCTTTCTATAATTTCAGAAATTGGTGGCAGAGCGCAGTTCCTCTCCTTTCCCAGAACCTATTACAATCAAAACAGCTAAGGTTCATTGAGTATCTCTAAGCGTCCAAGTCCTGTACTATGCATTTTGTACGAATTATCTTGTAAAAGGTAGGGTTTGATTATTCCTGGTTCATAAGAAAGAAAATCAAGGATCAGAGAAGTTAAATGCTTTCCCAGCTGGACAGAGACTGCAGTAGGTTTACAACCCAAAATGGATTGACTACAGTGGTGGAGCTCTTAACTACTTAATTTGTCACCTCCCACAACCTAATTTCCATTCTGGTAGACTAGTGGGAGAGCTGCTTGCTGTATTTATCTCACAGGGTTGTTTGGAGGTCCCAAAACATAATAGAAGAGTCAGTAACTTAGTATTTGTAGCACGCTGTTCCCCTGACAGGAAAACCTGATATGGTTTTCCACACTTCTGGCCATCTCTTTACACAAGCCCCTCTCCTTTCTGTTGGTTGAACTCATTTCTTCAAGACTCCGTGCCTGGATTTTTGTCTAACAATGGAGGGATTTGAGCTGAGGGTGGCACAATATCCTTGTGCTCTGAAGTGACAGTTGACTGTTGTGTGGGGAATGGAGTGTGACAGGGCCAAAGTGCACAGAAAAAATAGATAGAAGCTACTATAGTGGAGGGCCAAGAGAGGGTGGTGGAAACGGAGAGGAATGGTGGATTGGAAAGTTACTTAGGAAAGAGATTCGACAGGAAATGGAGGTGCATTTTAATGTGGGCGGTGAGCGAGAGGGAGGTGCTAGTTTCTCTTGTTTGTTGAATGAATTATCGAGTGATTTCCCCCAACCCAGAGTCATCTCGGACGGACATCTCCTCACACACAGCCCGAGCGCTGGCCGTTCCCCATCACAGCTGCGGAGCTCAGGCGATAAGGGAATGGGTGCCAACGCAGGAGGAAGGAAATGCGAACACAGTCTAGGTCCACGAGCTGCTAGATTGGAAACTGCTAGCACTCCTCTGAGCCGGGATGTGCTGCGAAGGGGGAAAGCATTTTTTCTCCGCCCGCAGTTTCCTCCTGGCACCTCCATTCCTGCCAAACCGGAGGTCCAGCAACCCCCTTAGCACCGAGGAGGTGTTGGCTCCTTGCCGGCGTCTAGGGGCGCGGCACAGCTGCACACCCCCTCCAGGCCTGATCCGCCCAATCCCTGGTCCACCCCACCCAATGCACTGGTAGCTAGGGCGGAGGCTCTGCCATCTCCGGAAACTAGGAATCAGGGGCAACAAGGTGAATTCCCGGGTCAGGGGCTCGTCCCCTGCGACGCACCTGCCCCACTGGGCTGCACAGGGTCAGTGCCCCTCCCCCCTTCTGCAGGTCCCCATCCTGCGTTCTTTGGCGTGCGCCGGCCCGACAAGTGCGCGCATAAGCGTGGCAAGTGCGGCCGAGGGTGCCGCGAGTTGGGGAACGGGTGCGTGCGCGTAGTGGTTGCGTGGGCGCTGCCCAGGAGTCGAAGAGCACAAGATGCGTGGGCAGGGAGCCGGCGCGGGTGCCCGCAGCGGGTCTGCGTTGGGCGGGGGCGCCGCAAGTGCAGCGCAGCTGGCGCAGACCGTGCGCGGCGTCGGCGGCGAGGTGGTGCGCGGAGGAGTGCGGCTGGTAGGAGGGAGGAAGGATGCGTGCCGGTAACTTTTTGCCGGCCCTGCAAGTGCGAGTAGTCGCGCTCCACGGAGCTGCCTCCGGCTGCCGGGCGAGCGCAGAGCGAGTGTGCCCGCCGCGGCCCCTCCCCCACTTCCGCCTCCCGCCTCTTCCTCGTTCCCGGCTCCCAGGGCCGTCGGTCCCGGGGGAGACCCAGAGGCGCAGCCCCACCCCGGCCGGCGCGGCTCGCTCCCACGCCCCCGCCGCCGCCGCCTAGCTGGAGCGGACAGACTGAGTCAGCGGGGGCGCCGGGCGCTGCAGGTAGGGGCTCCGGCGACGGTGGGCGCAGGTGACTCCAGGGACAACGGAGGGGACCCGAGCACCAGTGGAAGTGCCGGGGGTGGGTAGCGCCCTCCTTTGACCCCTCCCTTCCCCCCGCGGACGCAGCGTGTCCCTTTTTGGGGAATTCTTCTTCTGCTTACTCTAGTGCGGGTGGGGCTGAGACAGAGAGGGAGTTCTCCATTTCACGGCTCCTGCCTGGTCCCCTGGCAGCCTCCTGCCCCAAATCTCCCCACTCTTTCCCCAGCACCTGTGGTCGCGTAAACAACTCCCTTGCTCCAGTCACGGCTCTGTGGCCCCAGGTGGCCAGCCCGTTCAATCTGGTGAAACCAATGGGGTCAGGGGGAGGGGAAAGAGAGGGAGCCCCCGGTCCTGTCAGTTCCCCCTGGGTTTCTCCCTCCCCTTCCCCCCTGCAAGCGCAGACGGCCCCAGGGGCCCTGGATATTTTTAGCGTTGTGACCTGGGCGGCAGCTCTAAGAGCCTTTCCCAGGAATCGGCGTCAGCGCCTCCCTTCTCCGTGGCCGAATCGCGGCCACACTGGCTCCCCGTCGTAGCACTCCCTGGCCCGCTTGGGTTTGGATCCGTCTTGAGCTGGCTCCAGCGCCTTTGGAGCAGGCCCGAGCCTGGGATAGACCGAGTCCAGATGAGATGGCCCGTGGAGGATGCGGATGTGGTCCCAAGCTGGAAACTACCCTGCCCTGGTGATGGGTTCAGAGCAGAATGCCAGGAATGAGACTGAATGAATGGAAGTGAATGCACAGGGCCTGGACTGGCCTGGAACTTTTGGTATTCTGGAAAGCTCTCAGCCCTGGGAGTCAAGAGGCCTGGCCTGAATTGGACCCACGATCTGCCTTTCCAATTCCTACTCATTGGCCAGTAGGGAGATAAGATGGTGAGATGTGTCAGAAGAGGGGAACAAATAAAGAACTGTTGGAGTTCGTAGACAAGATGGTGGTTCTCTAAATAGCTCACCTTCACAAGCCGTGTTTTCAGGAAGGTAGGACCACTATACCTTTTCAGATGGGGAGACTGCGAAAGATTTTCCTTAGGGCATCCAAGTCTGAAAGATGGGTGACTTCAAAGCAAGAGTTTGGAGGTGATGGGGATGATGTGTATGTGTTTAAGTAAAGGGGAGAGAAGAGGGGTTGCACTAGTGGAAGAGGACCTTCTACCCTACCATCTCCATGCTATCCTCTTCCCTGGCCTTCTGAAGGGACTTGGGTCTATTAAATGGAGAAAATATCATTTGGGCTGGACTAGCCTCCCCAACCCGGTCAGAAGGGCATACTATGAGAGTTGGCCTTTGGCTGCCTTCCCCTGAATACAGAGAGCCTTTTCTGGTGCCTGGAACTGGCATCCCCTTTGTAGAGCTGGGGCAGCTCTGCCTCTACATAGGACTTGAAGCTTGTAGGAAGGACTTTGTTTCAGAGTAGGGGAAAGAGTAGCAGATGCCAGAGTCATCCAGCGGGAACCAGAAACCCCACTGCTGGGATGCTGGCTGCTGTGGGGTTCCCGAGGCCCAGGGCCCACTGTTGTTTTTCTCAACTTCACAGCTGTACTTGTCTTGCTTATTATCTTTCCAGGGGCTGACATGGACCCAAATCCTCGGGCAGCCCTGGAGCGGCAACAGCTCCGCCTTCGGGAGAGGCAGAAATTCTTCGAGGATATTTTACAGCCAGAGACAGAATTTGTCTTCCCTCTGTCCCACCTGCATCTTGAGTCACAGAGGCGTAAGTTCCATGTCCTGAGGTGCAGTTTAGGGGTAGTGTGAGGAGGGTGTCCAGGGGGTCCTGCACCTCTGGGGCCATATCCCTCTTGTGTTCTTAGCTGGGTGAACTTGTAACTTGTAATCTGATGGGTAACTCTGAGCATCCTGTCAGCTTCATCCTAGGTCCTCCTGACTTATCCCCTTTTTGATCCACAGCCCCCATAGGTAGTATCTCATCCATGGAAGTGAATGTGGACACACTGGAGCAAGTAGAACTTATTGATCTCGGGGATCAGGATGGAACAGATGTGTTCTTGCCTTGTGAAGATCCTCCACCAACGCCCCAGACTTCTGGTATGCCTCTGCTTTAGGGACTTGGGAACCAGTTTACTGGAGCTGAATATTGAGGCTGCTCAGCTAAACTGGGGAAGAATTCAAGTAGGGACTGGAAGTGGGTGTCTGCTAGTGAAATAGCTTTCAGTTCTGATTTTAAGGATGTTGACCCTGAGGGGAAACTGGGTTATAAATTCCTAGGCCAAAATTCTAGGATTGGCCAACCTCTTTAGCCTTTTTAATTTTGTATTTGTGATACTAATGTAATTACTGCAATAAAAATAATGTGAAATATAATTTTTAATTAGACTAGTGATTTTAGTCATTATTTTTTTTTTTTTTAAGAGAGAGCGAGAGGAGAGTGAGAGGAGAGTGAGAGAATTTTTATTATTTATTTTCTAGTTCTCAGCGGACACAACATCTTTGTTGGTATGTGGTGCTGAGGATCGAACCCGGGCCGCACGCATGCCAGGCGAGCGCGCTACCGCTTGAGCCACATCCCCAGCCCCGATTTTAGTCATTATTTACTGAGCACTTTACTAGGTTCCTAATACTGTGGTAACATCCTTTATATATAAGTTATTTCAATACTTAAAATTTCCTATCAGGGCAGGTATATAATCTCCATTTATTTTCTTTCTTTCTCTCTCTCTCTCTCTCTCTCTCTCTCTCTCTCTCTCTCTCTCTCTCTCTCTCTCTCTCTCTCTCTCTCTCTCTCTCTCTTTCTTTCTTTCTTTCTTCCCCCAGAAGAATGGAAATAGTCTCCATTTGGGGGCATGGGGTACCAGGGATTGAAACCAGGGTGCTTAACCACTGAGCCACATCCCCAGCCCTTTTTATATTTTATTTAGTGACAAGGTCTCACAAGTTGCTTAGGGCCTTGCTAAGTTGCTGAGGCTGGTTTTGAACTCGCTGTTTTCCTACCTTAGCCTCCTGAGGTGTTTTCAGGCTTGAGCCACTGCACCTGGCAATACTCCATTTTATAAGAAGGAAATAAGGCTCAGAGAAGTTCAGTTACACTGTAGCCAGAAAGTGGAAAGGCCCTAATCAAACATTACCTGACTCCACCACCCCTGTGCTTAACTTTAAGGGACTCTTATTTAAACCTGCTCCTGTTCCCTGATGGCCTGCTATACCAGGTATTGTTTAAGCATTCTCAGGTTTTATTCTCAAAACCTTTTCAGAATGTAGGTAACCTCCCCCCTTTATTTATTTATTTATTTATTTTTACATAGGAAGAGTAGAGTCCTTAGGAGGGAAAGTGACTTGTCCAAAGCTCTTCACCAGAAAGTGCATGATGTACATAGAACTTGAACTCTTTCATTAACTGACCTGACTCAAGCCCAGAAACGGTGTAATGATGTGGAAGGATCTGGGAGCCAGGAGATGAAGGTCCTAATCCTGGTTCTTCACCGGACTGGCAGATGATTTTGGACAAGTACCTGCCCTCTCTGGGGTTCAGTTTCTCTGACCAGATAGCTCTTAAGAGTCCTCTGAAACCATTTGTGGCTCTAACCAGCTCTTCTCTCTGGGCAGGGGTGGATGACCATCTAGAGGAGCTGAGCCTGCCATTGCCGGCGCCAGACAGGACTACATCCCGGACCTCCTCCTTGTCTTCTGACTCTTCCACCAACCTGCATAGTCCAAATCCAAGTGATGGTGGAGCAGATACACCCTTGGCACAGTCTGATGAGGAGGAAGATGGGGGTGATAGAGGAGCAGAGCCCGGAACCTGCAGCTAGCAGCGGCCCCCTGCTGCAGACTGACCAAGCTGGCTATTCTCCAAGTGGGACCCTAGGCCCAGCCAGAGCTCTTCAGGAGAAGACCAGACACTACGCTTACAGTCAGCACCAAAAGGAGGGGAGGATGGTGGGATAGTGTACCTCTCTGAGCGTTAACCCTCTCCTGCTTTTCTGCTAACCTTTTCCTGCTGCAACCCTTTCACCAGTTTTTGGCTTACTTCTGAGGTAGGACTTTTAAATGGGGAGTTGGAAGATGAGGAAGGACAAGATGCTATTGCTTTTCTTAGCACTCCTCCCTCCCTCCCTCAAATCATCCTGTAGTTTTCCAGTAGAGCCTCCTAAACTAGTGTCTCTAAGTGGACGTGAACTCCTTAGCACCCCATATGAGATGGAACGCCAGTTATCCTGCCTCCTTATATCCTTTTTGGAACAAGACACAGTATAAATAATAAACAAATAATATACCAACCATTCCACTTCATTTTTCACGTCATAGAGATATCCAACCCACTCTGTCTACTTTCTTACCAACATCATATCCCCATCACTCATTGACTCCATTTTGGTGGGGAGGGGCTGGGTACCAGGGATTGAACTCAGGGGCACTCCACCACTGAGCCATATCCCCAGTCCTATTTTGTATTTTATTACAGACAGGGTCTCACTGAGTTGCTTAGTGCCTCGCTAAATTGCTGAGGCTGGCTTTGAACTCGGGATCCTCCTGCCTCCGCTTCTCAAGCTTCTGGGATTATAGATGTGTGCCACCATGCCTAGCAACCCCATTTTTTTTTTTTAAAGAAATATTGATTGAACACCTGCTAGGTGTGTGGAATGCAGTTCTGAGCAAGACAAGCTATATCTCTGCCTTCATGGTCACAGAAGGGAAAATTCACAGTGTATTAAGTAGCAAGATGAAGTACTACTCTGGTAACAGAAAGTAGAAGCATTTTAACCTAACTTGGTTGATAATTGAAGAGTTGAGGTTTTTAGCAGAGATGTGAAGGATGCTTAGGAGTTAGGCCAGGCAGGGGCAAGGGCCAGGCAAGCAGCAGGAGCAGCTTGTAGAGACTTTAAATGGGGAGAATGTATCCTTGAGGACCTGAAAAGCGTTTGGTTTGGCTAAATTGTTGGATTTGAGGACAAAATGAGAAAAGAAAAGATTGACAAAGGTACCAGTTGTGTTGTGTGTGCCTATAATCCCAGCTTGGGATGCTGAGGCAGGAAGATTTCAAGATTGGGGCCAGACTGGGCAACTTAAACCCTGTCTTAAAAAATACAAAGGTCTAGAGGGATATAGCTTAAAAGTAGTGCACCTCTGGGTTTAATCCCCAGTACTGGGGGGAAAAAAAGATTAATAAAGGTCAGGTGCTTTGAAGCCTGTTCCAGGTTTCAATTGGACTGCCAGTGAAGATCATGACTTAAGATATAAATATCTTTCCTCATATGAAAGAAGTCCAGGGGCTGGGTTGTGGCTCAGTGGGAGGCACTGGGTTTGATTCTCAGCACCACATTAAATAAATAATAAAGATTAAGAAAAAAAAAAAAAGTCCAAGGATGCAGGGCTGTAGCTGTACAGAAGTTCTGTCCCTGAGAACTGGGCTCCTTTTTGGTTTTTTGCTCAATTGTTCAGGACACATGATTTTCATTCTTATGGATACTTCATGTATAGGATGGCTGCCAAAGCCCCAGCCATCATGACTTTGAAACTGACAGAAGAAGAAATGGATTTAGGCAAAGAGGGCATAGCCTGATGTCTTTTCTAAATTTATGAAGCATTTTTCGAAGTTCTGAGCAATTGCATCTATTTTCGTCTCATTGGCCAGAACTTGGTAACACAGGAAATGTTTCATTTGTGGATATTTTATAGACAGGGACACAACATTAACTAAAAGAAAGGAAATTCTGGGTTTTGGAAATACATTAACCCTTTCAAGTTCCTGAAGTACCAATGCATCTGATTTTTGTACTTCCTGTCATCTCTGAGAAATATCCTGGCTGGTGGAGAGCTGGAATAGTCCTTTGGCAGGGTACTCTGCTGTCTTGACAGAATCAGGGTTTTGTTACTAGGGAACAAGAGGACAGTAGTCATTGGGTAGGTAATGAGCAGTTTACATGTTAAGAGCTGAACTTTATTGGGAGTAATGAAGGATTATAAGTGCATACTGGATTTGCATATTTAAAAGCTAATTCTGACAGGAGTGTAGAGAGTATTGGAGGACAGGCTCAAGACAGATAACCTGTGTGTGAGAGACAGAGTAGTGGCTCAGAAGATAGCAGTGATGATTAGCTTACTTGGGTTGAATTGGGGTGTAAACAAGTGATATTATTCATTGAACAGATATTAACTTTTGGGATTTAGCATGCGCAAGACACTGAGCATGACCTTATAGATGGGGTTGGGGTGGTTGGGTGGACATAGTCTCTGCTGTCATGAAGTTATTGTCTAGAGGGGGCCCAAATGTAAAGGTGTAACTATGACAAGTTGTAGGAAGGAGTTGGCCTATTCAGAGAGGTCCCCAGGGTATTTCCCTTGAGGAAGTGGCACTTGAGCTAAGATTTGTTTGAAGAGTAGGAGTAAATGAGGGAAGAATGGCTGGAAGGTTTCTTGTGGAATAAAGATTCAAGGAGTTCAGAAGGAATCCCTGGAAACCAGAAGATGATCACAGCCATTCAGCCAAGAGATAAGGCGCTAGGGTGGAGAAAGGTGGAATGAAAGAAAATTCAGGGGGCAAATTCCAAAAATGTAAAGGGTGAATGTGAGAGAAGGAGGAGTCAAAAGTGCCACCATTATTTCTGCCTCCTACATCAGGATGGGTTGGAGTGCTCTTTACCAAGATGGGAGTTTAGGAGAGAACCGTGTTTGGGAAGGTTGTAAGTTTGTTTTAGACATGTTGAGTGGGAACCTGGATCCATGCATGTGGAATTTGGGTGAGAGGATTGGGCTGGAAGAATAAATAAATAAGTTACCAGTGTAAGGTGTACAGCCAGGGAGTGTCGAATGAAAGGGGGACCTGGCCTTAAGGAACATCAGTTCATGTCTCACGTTTTAAAAAGTCATTCCACTTCTCTTCATGTATCAAACACCAGCCATGGATCAGTGACCTTCAGCCTAAAATGAAGGTGTTTTCCAGTCTGAGTGATAAGGCCTCCATCTTCCTATTGTCTCATCCTGCTTCTACCCGTTCAGGAGGCCATTATAAATTACCATTCCTAAGTGCTTTTCCTAAAGAGAGAAACTCGTGGGAGCTCCAGGGATGTAGGCATGTCCATTAGTCTTTCCCTGTCTCTAGGAAGCTTGTGGAATGAGAACCTTTTTGTCCAAAAGTCTCTGGGTCCATGTTGAGATCATTCACTAAACTGGGCCAAGGCCCAGTCTCATAATAACCTTGGGGATTTTTCTGGGTTGTTTATGACTTTTCTGGACTCAGAAGAGTCTTTGTCCTCTGGTGCCTTCTCACGTCCTGACCCTTTCTTTAGCAAGGCTCTACCTCCTATCTGACTGGCCAAGCCTTCTCTTGGGCTCTGGATATGCAGTACTTCCCAGATCTGGAATCAACCCCCTCCCCTCCAGGGTGAATGATGGGAATCTGTACTGGTTTGGTGGCTGTCAACATTCCAATAAATTTTTTAGTACCCCAAGCGCACAATGCTAAGATTGTGGGGTTTGGGACAGGGATCCTGACTGGAGAGAAAGCTGCAGGCCTCTTGAGGAGCGGAATTGTTTGTGAGTCTATGGGAAGCCTTCATTTACTACTATGAGCCCAGGCTCTGTCTGGAAAAGTCTAGGGTCAACTGAGACCACAGGACCACTTCCTGGTTGAGACAATGACCTCTCCTCCTGCCAAACCACAGCCAGTTGGCTGGCCTTCAGAGGCTTCATCTCCAGCTGACTGTTTTATTGAGGCCACAAAGTGCCCTTGGAGATGGGATGATTTGGAGCCAATTCCAATTCAAGGAGCCTAGCTTTCAGTCTCCAAGCCACAGTGTGGCTTCTTTCTGTTGCTTAGACTTATGACTGGGTGGACATCTTGACAGACTCTGGAGAGGAGGGAAGGAGACAAGTCATGGCCATAGAACCCTATATTTTGGAGGAAATTCGAGGGACTACAGCTCAGAAGATTCCCTTGAAAGCTCACTGTAACAATCCTCAGGAGAACTTGACTCTCAAAACAGCATGGCAGTGTGGGGACAAGACAGGACTGTGGGGATGCTGTCTTGCTCCTTTGCTCATTCAGTGTTGAATACACTGCTGGGTGCTAGTCACTTGCATAGGCAACCAAAATACTAAGGTGACCAAGAGCTCTTCTAGGAACAGATACGGCCACAGACTATGGAAATATAAGGTGATGAGTGCTAGAGCAGAAGTACCCCAGGAACTGTAGCCACTAGTGGGCGGAGTCTTCATTGGAGGTGGCTGGGTTACAAATGATGGGGACAGTTTATTTCAAAGAGAAACAGTAGAGCACTGAAATACAAAATATCAATGATGGCAGCTGCCTTTAAAAAAAAAGTTATTTTGCAGGCTGGGGTTGTGGCTCAGTAATAGAGCACTTGCCCAACATGTGTGAGGCACTGGGTTCGATTTTCAGCACTCATATAAATAAATGAATAAAATAAAGGTCCATAAACATCTAAAAATTTTTTTTAAAAAAGTTATTTTGAAGTTGGTAACGTAGACTCTGGTTCCACCACTTACTGCAATCAAAATGGAGATGATACCTACCTGATAAGAAAATGGTATTATTAGTCACATATTACATTCCAGATCCTACATGTACATAATTTCTAATCCTAACAGTGACTCTGAAAATATGTTTCTCCATTTTGCGGATGAGGAAGTAACACTGGGGTTGCTTTTGCTCCTATGGATTAAAGGCTGGTAGGGATTTGGCCTTCCTACTATTCCAGGAACAGTAAATGCAGGCAGAAATGAGGACATGAGATAAGGACATCTTTTTGACACGTCCTTCCTCATTGGTTGGGATATATCTTGGCAGACTTGCCAGATACCAAATTTGGATCTTGATAGAAAATATGGCTGTTTACCTAAAGACCATTTAAAAACTCCTTCATGAATATATTCCCCATAGGGCATATTAAATTCCTCTTCAGAATTTAACATTGGAACTCCTACAACTCAACAATAAAAAGGAAAACAAAGCCAGGCATGGTGGGCTGATCCCAGTCACTCAGGGTGCTGAGGCAGGAGGATCACAAGTTTGAGGCCAGACTCTGCTACTTAGTGAGACCCTTTCCCAAAATATAAAAGAAGTCTGGAAATGTGGCTCTGTGGCAGTGCCCCTGTGATCAATGTCCAGTGCCCCTCACAGATACAAACACCAGAAGGCAGGCCAGTGGGAAAAGAAAAAAAAAAAGAAGAAAAATGGATTGGGCACAAAAGATTTTTAACAGAGTCTTTCACAACAGACGCTATCTGAACGGTACTAAGCACATGTATAGATGCCCAGC